TGGAAATGCTGGCACTGAGTTGAGCCTTAAAATACAAAGAGGAGATGGAGAGAGGTGGCGAATGGGGGAGGAATATTCCGCTTGGGAACAGCATGAGCAAAGGTACACAGTCAAAACACCGGCATTTCTAGTCTAGGACCCAGCTTGATTGATTTCTACCCCTTTTTCCCACTCTCTGGGCTGTGTAACATCATGGCCTTTGTCCGCTAAACACGACGGATGCTTTCAGGTCCCAAAAGGCAAAAACAGCTACAGCTGGTCACAGTCCTCCCTCAACTTCTCCTTAACAGCTTCTCATTCTCACCCTGTTCACATGTAATTTAAAATCCCTTTTTTCCACAAAGAGAATTTCAGAAACAACGTTGTTGAGTGGCTGAGCTCTCAAGAGGAACTGAAGAGAAAGGGAGAAGCACTGAAATCACTAAGAACAAAACAAGGACTGCGTTAGAAGTTGAGCTCAGTGTAGATACCAAAGCTAATGAATTCCCAGGTAGAACATGGGGCGAACAACCTAAATCCAGTCAGTCTCTAATGACATTCAGACCTAGAAGTGCTTACCTGCAAACAGGGAACTGAATTTGAAAAACAAAACAAGGCCAGTAAATTTCTGAAAGGAGACAGCTATTTTTCCTTGGAGACAAACCAAATTATGCACTGCCTCTCTTACTAGCAACATACTCTGGCTCAAACATTTTTAAAAGAAGGCTGATGAACATCTGCTGGGCAATTAATGGAATGCAGCAGTGTGCTGTAATGGTCCCTGGGAAGGTATTAGCAATCCTGCTTAGGAGACATGAAATGTTGCAAACCGCCGTTCTTTTTCCTTCTTCTTCTTCTTTTTTTTTTTTTTTTAATTTTTTATGTCCTCCTGCCTGCAGGGGGGATGAAAAGAAGGGAAAGGGAGTGAGGTAGAACTTCGGCATCAAATACTCTTCCTCACTGTTTCCTCTTTTCCCCACTTATCTTCATCCTTTTCTTCCTAGGCAGCCAAATAGGACTGTGCCAATTTTAACTTAATGAAAGAAAGTGTGGCAAGTGTCTCAATCCACTGATCTCCCACCCAGTGTGCCACGTTTTCTAAGTGTGAAAGAATTCACTCTAGCGTCTTGGTAGACACAATCTACTGCTCTGTTCAAATAGTTTACAACAATCAGATGGCCGGGGCCGACTCAGGGGCGCTCTAAGGGAAACAGATACCTCACATACTTCACTTCCTCACCAGAGGTACCAAAAAGTGCCCATCTTTACATAAACCTTGTCTTTTGTAGTGACAGTCAGGCTGAGAGCGATGCTGCACCTGTGGGTAGGGCCAATTTTACCGCTTTTATGAGGAACATGGCAACACTCAACACAGACAAAGTTTCCAATTCCATTATTCTGTCAGCCCTTGATGTCCTCTCCCTTTACTCTTCAAACTGGAGCTGATTATTCACATATAAGTCTACATCTACTGCAGTCACTGAGCCAGTCATGATAGGAAGATCAATAATGCCAGTTGGTCAAGGTTTGGAATTATCCTGCCAAAAGGTCCTACTGTCCAATCTAACAGAGAAGAACCCTGAACAACCCACAATGGTTGGAAGTCAAAGACTTGTCTCACTTCCTCCCAACTGCTTAGTCTAACACTGGGGTTTTGCCTCAAACTACTTTTTAATTTTACTCTCTTGATAATCTTGCATCATACTGATCTGTGTTGTGGGGAGTCTTCAAATCTCAGTGGGTTTACATGAGCTCCCAGTGACATACCTTCCTTTTGGCCACCCCTTCTTCCCAGAGATCTGAGTCCTGTTCCCCAAGTTCCCAGCGATGGAATGAACCATGAACATTAATTGGAGAAGTTCCAGATATTCCCAACTTTGCCATCTGGAACTTACATTGGTGGTATTAACTGTTCATGGTTACCGGGAATGGACTTTCTTTCCCATGTGGAACGATGAATCCCACACGGATGCCTTTGCATGCCTTTGCTGTATCCGTTTCCCTGGCCAAGCCCTGGCTAAATCAGTTTCAGCTAATTACCACTTTTTTGATCCCTGTTTTTCTTAGCCTGATCCCAGCTCTACCAGTTGCCATTATAGGAAACTTCCTAAGTAACATTTGAAATTAGGTTTCAAATTCAGCAAGATATTCTGAACCATCTCTGGAGTGTGATATGAAAATCAGTTAAATAAAAATCAGGCATGTAGAATAACTGATGGAAGATAAGTATGGGAGTATGGGAGGAAGCAAAGGTGTGAAACGCAGGTGGCCTTCAGAGCTGGAGGAGTGGGGTTAGTTCTCTGCCTAATTTAACCTAGATGGTCCCCTTTCCAATAGAGGCCCCTGGTAAACAGTAAGGGAGTTTTTTTTCTAATAAATCAAGCTACTCCACAGCAAAATTTGTTGCCTGAAGATAGTGTTCATTTAGAAGCTGCACAACTGTAAAGCAAATTTTGCACTACAAGGGACGGGCTAAGTTGGCCACCTCCCTTCAAATCCAGAATTCAGTATGGAACATCAGGCTCAGCTGTTTTTAACCTCTAAACTGAAAGAGAACAAGTAGCTCTAGCTATTATAGGAAAGGATGATAAGGTTCAGTCTGCCACCTAAACAGGCTAGGCTGTCTAATTAATCAGTAAATCTATTTAAAACAATTTCAGGTTGTTACTTGCCACTCATGTGAAAATTTTGTCAGTGGCTTGGCTATCAGGATGACTACAACTGATATTTTTGTACTTTGTTTTCTGGTACAACGAGCCATGTGTAATTGCCACGTGTCACCACCAATCACCAAAAACCAAAGGTCAACCTTTTAGTGGAAACCACTAATCTAGATCATCAAATGCCCTGAGATAACTTGGCAGCTTTCTTTCATGCCTTAGGCTTAAAGGTTTTTCTCATAGGTCTTGCTTAATTGTTCTCTATACTCTCACATTTTCTCAATTTCTTCATGGCATTTTCATCAGCAATACAATTCAGAAAGTAGCATCTGTTAATTTGTTCCCTGCATGGCTTTCCCCAGGTGTGGAAGCTTCATGAGGGCACAGACTCTATCCTATGCTGAGGACATTGCTTGGCTCAGAGTAGGCAGGCACTCTAAATGCCTGTTCAATGGATGAATTAGGATGGCAGGCTGGAGAACACAAAACCAGCTCTCCTCAATCCTCCTTGCTCTTAAGAGTCATCTTCTTCAAGGGATACTCTGAATCAGTCACACCTCCATTTAAACATCTTGATGGCTTCCCAGAGCCCACCAAATTAAGTACAAACTGCAGCCTGGCATACTTCCATGCTCCTCTTCCATTTCCCATGCTCACAACAGTGACTTTTATATATATATATATTTTTTTTTTTTTAAGGCAGTGGGAGTTTTTCTAAACAAAGTATTTCATGAAACCTTAATAAACAAAGAAAACAATATATGATCTGAACAGAAAAGAGGCTAGCAGCCAAACTGCTTGGCCTTCCTCTAGACTTAGGTACACCTCTGGAATCTCCAGAAATCCAAAGAATGGAAGTGAGAACTGCTGCTCTTTGTTTCCACTTATTCAGCATCCCCAAAGCTCTGGAGACTTTCACACTCCTTCTTTGGGGTTTTGGTGCTTGGAATGGTCTCTTGAGGTTAATCCTTTCCATCTTTTCCCAAAGACCATCTTCTCCATGAAGCTTTCCTGTATCATTATGAATACACGCAGTTCCTTTCTGCTTTAAATTTCCTATACAACTTTGATTGTTAATAATAAAAAAAAGAAGGGAAAAATAGTTTACTATGTGCCAGGAACTACTCTAAGTGCATTGCCTGAATTAACTTCATCCTCACATAATCCCATGGACATCGGTGCTAGTGCCATTTCAAAGCTTCCAAGAAGTTAAGTCTCTTCTCAAGGTCTATATGGCAAGTAAGTGAAGGAGCTAAGACTGAAACCAACGATCTGGCTGCAAAATTGCAAAGTCTAAGTGCTTAAGTATATCACCTCTCTATATAAGCATGTATTCACTTTACTCATGAGATATCCCGCCATTGCCCATTTCCTGCACCTCATCACACCACCACACTGTTACCATCCAACTATGCCACACCACAATCAGATTATATGGTTTTTGAGACTAAAGACCATTTCCTGTTAGCCTTTGTATTCCATGCAGCACCAGCACTATACTCTGAAAAAATAAGTACTCAATAAATATTGTTAATTTATTATTAATGTAACACAATAATATCTATTTCTATACACTTGGAATTATCTGAGTTATCACTGAGATTTCTACATAGCCTTAGAAGGAGGCCCCCCCCCCCCCCCGGCTTTTCCAGGTGAAGAGACAGAAGCTAAATGATAGTAAGATCATGCATGACCCACTCAGGGTTTATCTTGGTTATGGCCCTGTGCAATGCCTAAGTTCCAGTTATTTCTACTCATTATCCCAAAACTTAAAGAAAATTCTTTATAACATAAATAACTGAAAATAAGGTTTTGCAGAAAGATCGGAAAACAGTTATTTGTAAGGTTAACTTTATTTTTTTATTTTTTTTTTTTATTTTAAAGATTTTTTATTTATTTATCTGAGAGAGAGAATGGGAGACAGAGAGCATGAGAGGGGGAGGATCAGAGGGAGAAGGAGACTCCCCGCTGAGCAGGGAGTCCGATGCGGGACTCGATCCTGGGACTCCAGGATCATGACCTGAGCCGAAGGCAGTTGCTTAACCAACTGAGCCACCCAGGTGCCCCTGGGTTAACTTTATTTTTAAGACTTCTGTTGAGAAGGAGCATGGCATCATTTGAGGAGTATGTATTTAGGTGATTCCCTGACAGTTTTTGCCAGTGACTTAAGTAGGAAAGTCTTCTTATTCTGCTGTCTTACGGATCCGCATTAGGGCAAAAAACGCCAAGTAAGGGAACCTCCAAAGACTGGTGCTCTTATTTCTCATTAGCAGTGCCATCATTTCATCTATGCCAAAAAAGCGGATTGGGATCCCCCTTTGCTAGAGCCACCAGCCGGCAGCCACGGACCTGGAAACTGACCTGCTGTTAAGTGGGCTGCGTGGACAAGGATTTGGACCCCAGGCTTCAGCTCAAAGTGCACCAAGTTTTGGTTGAGCTTGTGGATCAGCAGTTCTGATATCTGAAAGGAGAAGTGTTACAGTGAGTGCCTCCAAAATTGCCATGCCAACAATAAACAAACGTCCTGAGAAGTATTTACTGTAGTTACCAAGGCGTCCTAATGTTATGCCTGTGAATTCTATAAATGAGTCTTGTATGATTTTGAGTTTTTATTCCAGAATACGTACACATAGTGATTTTTAAGCTTACATCCTAATTGCTACAAAATAGGACAAACTAATAGTAGATACAAACATTTCTGCTCTTAAAAAATTATCCTGTGTTATCCTAGAAAATTCACCCCCAGTTTTTTGAAAGAGCATTTGTTATACACAAAAACTTAAAAGAAGTAATTATGTACACTTTATACATTCTGGTGAGATTTGTATGCATTAATTTTACTTCTTGAGAGTAGTCCATCTTATTCCTCTCTGTGCTTCCTTCCTCTTCCCCTAACTCTATGCTGTGGCTTTCACAGAATAGATACTTTATGAATATTTATTGAACAGTAAATATAGTTCCACTAAAATAATAAATTATACAGTTGGAACAAACTGTAAGCACAATCTCAGTGATGCATTGGCTGATCCTTGTTTCCTGCTTATGGACATTAGCTAAAACACTCCCCAGGCTGACACCCATGTACTGGGCAGACCTATGGGATTCTGGGCCATGAAATACAGAACCCCAACAAAGGACAAAGAACCATGTTTGGGTAGTAACAGAATAAAGATAGGTTTGATAGAAAAGGTGAAACTGTTCTGTTCACTTGTTTAAAGTAGAAAATCCAGCTCAGTTGTCTTATCCTTCTGAACAATTTCTGAAAAGCTATCAGGGAAAATCACGCTCCTATTATTTTTATCTGAACTCCTTACTTTATTTTTAGTAGTCTAATCATCAATTTAATATTTTATTTAATAAGCTATTTAAGTCTAGTTAGATGCTTTCTTTTTTTAAAATTAATTAATTTTTTTATTTATTTGAGAGAGAGACAGCAAGAAGGGGACACAAGCAGGGGGAGTGGGAGAGGGAGAAGCAGGCTTCCCGTGGAGCACAGAGCCGGATGTGGGGCTCCATCCCAGGACCCTGGGATCATGACCTGAGCCAAAGGCAGGCGCTTAACAACTGAGCCACCCAGAGGTCCCTAGTTAGATGCTTTCTGACAACCATTTTTTATCCTTTTATAAAAATTGGTCCAGTTTCACTTAGTCTACTGAGTTGCCAAAATGACACCTCTGAATGATCTTTTTACCAATTAAGCAGAGCCTGATGGCTTTGTTTTGAAGCAGAGAGTCCCCGGCAGACCCCCCTATGAGTAATGGAACTGAACTGCCCTGCAGATGAACTTGTTTGCTCAACAACAGGAACTTGGGATGACTGTCAGTGACCTGCAGTTGAGCACCTGGGATCCAGTGCAAGCTCAGCATCTCAAATGCTTTCATTTGGCATACCATGCAGAAAAACAAGGTTGTGATACAATTATGTTGAAAACAACTTTCTCCTCTATATTAGGCTCTCTATTACTCTTTTTCCTGGGCACTGGGAATCTTCTGGAATGCTCTGGGTTTATAGGAACAGATTTCTAGCACACACTGTGCAGAATGTTTTTCCTGTGTGATCTCTATAAAGTGTTGGAATTTTTGGTTCCTATTCTATCTTATAATTTACTTGGTAAGGTCTTTATGGGAATCTGACAGGACTTTTAGTAGAGGTCAATCAGCAAGGTTTTTGCTAATGAAACCCAGAAATGTGTGTGTGTGTGTGTCTGTATACATACATACATCATATATGTGTGAAATATACACATTTACATACATATGCATATATATGTGTACATATCTATGTTTATATTTGCAGAGGAATATTTTAACTCAAATGGGAAAGACTTGTCAGAAGTAATTAATGAATTGCCCTGTTTTGCAGAATCCATCATGTGGCCAAAAGGGAAATATGTATTCGCAAGAGAAAGACTTCTCTCTTTCAACCAGCTGAAGTGATATTTATTTCTTATTCCTGAGGATGTTTTTTCCTCAAGTGAGAGGTATAAATAACTAAACCAGAAGAAAGTGTTCATCAGAACAACATATTTCTAATTTATAATCTCCAGGAGAGTTCCTTGTGAAAACAATTAACTTCCTGGATTTGTTTTGGTTTATAACATTGCTTCACTGGATTTATCTGTATCATTTACAAAATTAAGCAGGCTACGCCAAAATAATCTGGTAGCACAAAGTATGTTTCACGTATTCAACTTGCATCAAAGGACATGTGGTAAAGAACATGTATCTATGGGAAAGAAATTATGCACAGAAACAAAACCAAATGAAATGTACATTGCATACAAGAGTAATCTCAATTAGAACCATGTAATTCTCTACTCAAATGAGTACGAAATTGTTGACAGATTTTCACAATTTTAAATGTTTTTCAAGCCATTTGCAGAATTGTTTATTCTGTATTTTTCTATCACATCATGACTTGTTATATATTTTATATAAAATATACATAAGTATATACACCATATATATAATATATATGCATTGAACCCTTTATATCGGCAAAGTTGCCTATTTCTCAATATTTTTCTAACATAGCATGTCTTAGGTATTAGTGCTGGTATCTCCATGGAAAGGACCATGGAGCTTACAGAACATACCTAAGTTTACCCAGTTAATATTTGAAGAGTTGACACCAGACTTCAGTTTTGTTTGACTCCTAATCCTGGGGCATTTTCATTAAAAACATTTTCCTTGAACCAGCTGACAAAAAGAGAGAGCAAGAGATATATGGGAAGAGGGCTGGCTGAGCAGGTTTAGGAAATTAAAAAAAAAAAAAAAAAATCCACTGCAGCATTTCATTAATTATGCTGCCACCTCTTATTCATCTGTGAGGCCCACTTGTAACACCAGGCCCAGGTCAGCTGCTCAGTACGAGCTGTGCCAACAGGCAACTGCCAACCCTCTCCCCTGGACCGCCACATTCTGCTCACCAGTCAATATAATTTGTACTGATCGGGAGAGACTTTGGCTATGAAAGGAGTGGAATAAACTGGAATCTGTAGGGCTGGTGGCTGCAGACTAAATGGGAAGGACAAAACCTTGCATGATAGAGACTAAGTGGAGTAATGGTGACTGCTGGGACGCTGAACTTGTTGGAGCCAGTTCAATATATTTATTTTTCTTTCTCTGTCCAGTGAAAGTGTGTTGTCTTAGCAAACTGCACGTACCCTTTGTGCTGTTATCCCTCTCCTGCTGCTCTCCCACACAGTCCATTTTCTATTCTCTTCCTAAATAATCATGACCAAAGAAACAACACATTATTCTTGGTATCTGCCCATTGGTGGACTCGGCCTGGAATTCCAGTGCAACCCACACTTGCCTTCAAGTACCAGTTAAAAACACAGTGGGGACACAAGAAAAACACTTGGAAAGCTCCCATCAGCACGGCATAGTGGGAGGGACCTGCTATAGGGGAAAACACCAATTCTCTTCTGTATCTTCTTCACAAAATATAAAATTTAAGTACAGCAGTCAGAACAGGCTAGGTTAGGCTGGGGTAACAGGGTTAAAGGCTCAGACGTTTCCAACAGTGAAGATATATTTCTGGCTCCCACTTCATACCCAATGCAGGCGGACAGTGATGCTTTGTTCATTATGGTCACACAGGCTGGTAGAACTGGCCCCCCCAAATGTTTCTGTCCACAGAACCACAGGAGGGGAAAAGGAGCCCTCAAGGGTCTACAACTGGTATTTGAATACTTCTGCTTACAAGGAAACAAATCAGTTCTGCTCCCAGCTCATTGGCCAGAATCAGTCGCATGGTTCTGCCCACAGAAGAAGCACACGGTACCAGCCTACCGTGTATCCAGAAGGAAGTGAGCTGGAAATAGTCAACAGCAGTGACGGTTGCCACACAAAGAATACATTTAATGCTGAAACAATCTTTAATGAAACCAATAGGAGAAAACACACTCTCAGATTATAAGAATGAAAAGCGTCAAATATTGAAACATGAAAGAAAGAATTTAAGAACAGAGCAGTTGGTAAATTTATGAAACATATAAGCCAAAGAAGTGGTACAAGGTAAAAACTATAGATGTGCAATGGTCTTTGGCAGATTTATCAATGATAAAGCTGCACTGGGCCAAAATACTAACGTTTATCTCTGAAGTTGGCAGGAGGAATGCAAACCCTACTGAACATAAATAGCATTCTGGTGCCATGTTCAGAGATACTTGCCTGTAATGATCTTGGAGCTGACCCACCAGGTCATTCCTGATCCTGTTAAATTATTAAGGTCTTTTGAAATAGCAGTTGAAGAATCTTCCTTTTGGATTCAACACAGGAAGAGCTTTCCCAATTCATACAACATAATTTTTTGGATAAAATCATGGGGAGGGCAACAGAACCAAACACTAATTCTAGCTAACACTAGCTTACCCGATTCCCTTCTTTCTTAGCACAAAAGAATCATCTTGATTAAAGTGCCTGAGAAGTTTCCTGGGTGATATAATGAAGAAACACATTGGCTATACATATCTCCTTCCCGGTATTCCCCATCACCAGCTCTAAATTTGTCTCCCTTGGCCATATCCCTTCCAGTACAACTCTTACCTAATCACCTTTCAATTATAGTTTCCTGCTTTAATGATCTTCCTTGTGAACTCCAGGTACTTGTATAATCCAACTCCCCATGTTAAAAAATCCAGACAGGGTAGATTATGTGGGTAATAGTTTGAGATTATCAATTATAGTTCATAATGAATCTTTACTTCCTTAAAATGCTGCGAATAGATGGTTCCATTTTCAGAGGCTCCTTTCCTTTCTCTGGATTTTGTATTCTCCATCGGTCAAAGGTATATGGTAATAAAAACAGCCAAGGAGGAAATTCAGTGACGGTAGTTGACATTTTTTCCATAATCTTTTTGTTTCTTTTTAAATGTTTTCATGCCCTTTAAGGATTCTGCAGGACAACAGGTAGGCTCCCTATCTCTCCAGCACAGTGTCACAAAGACTCTCGATAGAACATGGTGGTCTTTCCTCCCTCCAGGAGAGCCAGATATACATCTGCTCCCCTCTGAGGACTCTGAGAGAAGCAAGGGAGTATAGGCCGGGGGGGGGGGGGGGGGGGCTGGCGTTGCTCCAGACCTGAGCAGTTGGGGCAGCAGGATGTGCTATCCCTGATGAGGCCAGTTAAGGGCAAGTGAGCCTTTTCTCACTCCCCAGAGATCTGAAATAAAGACTGGTGGAACCCTCCCAGACAGAGGTCACTTGATTAACCCTGTGCACGTTAGCCTGATAACAGGGTCAAGTACTTCTCACTGTGAGGAATTTTCAATTTATTTCACAGACAAGATAGCTTGATCTGAGCCAGCGTGGCTGCTCCCCTGGGGAAGCTAAGGGAGAAGAGCCAAGAGCCCTTTGCTGGGGCCTCACCCTTGCAGTTTCCCGGGCCCGTCTAGCCAGGGTCCCACTTCTTCCCCTGCTGGGGGTTCTGTGTGGTACGCTTACAAGAAAGGAGCCAGAGCACCAGGATAAGGTCAGCCCTTCCCAAGTTCCATCTGGGATTTGGAGTGCAGACCTCGGGGAGGGCAGGGGCCGGGGCACGTGGTGGAGAGCATTTCCTTCTGTTGTTTGCTTCTGCTCTGCATTCCTTTAAAATTTCTGTGTAATTTATTACAAAGACAGTCAGCTGCTTTTGTCTGCCTGGTGTTACTTCTCTCTCCCCATTTTCCTTGAGGAACCATGTCCTTCCCCATTCTCTGTCCACTTGATGCTGGAGAGGCTTCCTGAGCCCCTGATCCAGGCGGCATGTAAAACACCTAAGTTGTTGGGACCAGCACACCGTCCCTCTGACTACAAGGATGAGGGAAGAGATGTCCACTTCGCCCAGGTCGGGCCAGTGAGAACTGTCCACCTGGAGCTCTCGCGGTGCTCTCGGGAGACAGACACTGCTTTTCCGATGGGGCTGACGGGCTGACTAAACAGAAGCCCGGGCCTCTGGTGGCCATCCTCGCCTTCCTGCCTGCTGGCTTCATTCTCAGGCAGATTTCCCCATGGGGTAACAAAGAAAAGAGACGGAGAAAGAGGGAGAGAGGGGGGTGTTTCGTGGCATTTTTGAGTGGCTCTGAATTCACTGAATGAATCCATGCTTGAACTGTAACCTTGGATCTCCCCATTAAATAAGCTCGTAGATTCACTGTTTTTGCTTAAACTGGTTTGAGTTGGCTCTCTCTCAGTTGCATCAGAAACTAAAAGAAAAAAAAAAGGTACAAAAACTCAAGACAAAACAATGCATTTCTCACTCATTTCCTGGTGTAACAGCCTTGGGTACTTTCAGGCCCACGGAAGCAAAGTGGCATCCAATCCACGTCTGCAGCAGGGCGGAGTGGGGGCCACAGGCTTGAGTTCCTCGAAGAAACACAACTAGCATCTCATTGTCTCGAAGAGCTATGTCACCTCAAGCAAGTCACTCCTTCGTGTTGGGGCATCAATTCCCTCACTTTAAAAGGACTGAGTCAGCGAGAAGGGTCAAAGAACCCTCTTTCATTGAAAACTACAGGTTTCCAGTGGCAGCCCGTTTCACAATATCTTGACACGAGGCTCAGTTTTATATGTTGATTTCATTACTGCACGTTTTAAATCAGGGTAAGAATATTCGCCACGACAAAGACACGCATTTCTTATGTGCCTAGTTTGGCATTTGTTTGGTTAGAGTCCTAGATAAGGTGGATGCACTTGCAATTTCCTTAAACAGACGTACAATGCTAGCCTGGTAGCTTGTTTTCCTTCATGCTGCAAATCCACATGAAAACTCAGATGGGGCTCCCTCACTCCTGTGTAGTCAACTCATGCACATCCCTTCTGTTTCTTACTGTTCTCGTTCTCTTCTCGATTTTGTATAATTTCATACAGTCATCTTCTTCTTACTCCTGCCAGCCTCTTGCTTCCAATATGTGCCCTTGACTATACCAAATAGTCTCTTTCACAAGCTTAAACTTCCCTTTTGCGTTTCCATATATCCTCTTCCTATCTCGAGATTGCCACAAATGTATCCAGAATCTATGTACCACTTGCTGAGCATTTACTAGGAGCCAAGTACTTTGCATGTCATTTCTTGAATGTTCTCTTGCCCTATGAAATGGGTATTATAGATTGCCTCAGTTTGGCTGACTTACATGACTTTCCTAGTCCTAACTTACTTTATCTATAAATGATACAATGGATATTAGAGCTAAAACTAGAAATTTGGTTTTTATTTCTCCATTCCTGTGTTCTTATTTAAGATTTTATTTATTTATTTGAGAGAGAGAGAGAGGGCACAAGTGGGAGGGGGGGCAAACGGAAAGAGAGAAGCAGATGCCCCACTGAATGTGGGGCCTGATGTGGGGCTCCATCCCAGGACACTGAGATCATGATCTGAGCTGAAGTCAGACCCTTAACTGAGTGAGCCACCCAGGTGCCCCACTCCTGTGTTCTTTCTAATGAAATGGCTGTTCTCCCTACAATGTGTGCCAAATGCTAAGTCACACAGCCTTCAAACTTGACTCAATGGCTCATCAGTGACACCCGGCGGCCTCAGAGACAGTTACTCAACTCTCAGAATGTTGAGTAGGGGGTAGTCAGATGAGAGAGAATGAAGGGAAACAAGAGCTCCAGAGAAAAGAGTCAAAACAAGATACATTCTTACACAAGCAAAAGAAACTTTACAGAACATACCCCTCTTCTTCCCACATTTCTCAAGAAAACATCTAAAAAATATGATACTTTTAGGGAAAAAAAAATGGAAAGCATGAGAAACAGGGATGCCCAGATGATGTGATGCCTTGGAAATTGGCTGGCTCTAAGTGTGGACTCTCTTCCATACTTGAAAAGGTTATGATCTGGATTTCATGGAAGACTGATACGATTTTCAGAGGAAGAATGACTGCACATGCTCATACCTCAAGCCTTAGATACTCATCTACCTCCCCTGCAGGTTCTCAGCAGTGCTGGGATAAGAAGCCTTCCATTTCGTTCTCCCACAAAGTTGCAGGTGCAGATAATAATTTGTGGAAAATAATGGGAAGCTGAGTGCCAGGGCCGGGTGGAGTCAGATGCAAATCCAATGGACTGCTGTCCACCTGCTGTGGGCTCTTCAATCGCAGTTCACTAGGAGATGGAGTTCAACAGGGCTTTTCAGGACAGGTTTGTTCTTCATTACTTGCACATGGAGAAAATTACAGAGGTGAGCCTTCTGCCAAGTGAGAAAGTGCAGTTGAAAGGAACGTGTGTACTAGGAGGTGGGCCATGCTGTAATTCGGGGTTGTTGTTAATAAGGCTGTCATAGGAGGTTCTCAAGCCATCTTCAAAGACGAGAGATCATGTGACTAGATTACAGACTCATTCTAAGCAAAGTGAAAAACTCCACGTACTGGAGGGGAAAAAGCCAATATTTATTCAGAGTCTGAGAAGAATCCTATTTTTAATCTTTCTGCCAGAAAGCACTGAGAAACCAAAATCATGCAGTTTCTGATGGGGTAACCAGACCAAGACTGATGATTTTAACTGAACGATGATGAAGAAAAAGGGAAAGGGGAAGGAAAATGGGAAGAAGAGGAAGAGAAAGTAGAACAATATAATAATCATTCTCACTACACAAGATTAAAGACTCCTTTGAAGTTAAAAGGAGGAGAGGGGGATAACAGAGATGGAAGGGGGCAGGACACACACACACACACACACACAGAATCTATTACTCCAGAAGGTGGTAGACATGAAGAAAAGATGGACCCCACACAGCCAGCAAAGGTGGTCTGGAGCCAGTATTACTTCATTTATTAGAAACACAAATCAGATCATCTTAGCATGGTGGTGATACAGAGGATTTATGATATGTATAAAAGTCATACCTTTTAAAAACAGTATCATGCATCGCATATCATTTGATTCTAATGACATTCTTGTGATGAAAGTCAGAAAAGGAATAAATGGGTTCAACTTCCATGTATTATTCAGCCACATGCTTTTTCCCCACTTACTATCTTGGACAGTTTGCCCCATAGATTGATCTAATTCACCGTAAGCCCTCCGTTCTACAGCGTGGAGGTACATTCTGAGGAGGTCAGCTAATACCTGCAATGCCCATGCTTGCGCGTGTTTGGCGGTGAAGCTGTAGTTAGGATCCGCAGATTATGGGTGAGAAACAGAAGACCACAAACAGCCAGCGCCCTCACCCTCAAGCTGGGATCCCTCAGAGCTGCCATGCTGGGGGGTCTGGTACCAGCGGGGGTGTGGCTCAGACTTCTGTGGAAGCTGAGTATCACCTGGGGGACTCACCTGCTCTAGGTCCTCAGCCGACCGTTTGTTTTCTCCAGTCGGATCCTGATAGGGCAAGACAAAGAGCTCAGCGGCGGTGGGTAAGCCAGGGAGCACCGCCACCAGGATGTGCTGGCCTGGGACCCCGGTGGCCTGAGGGAGAGACAGAAGCTCACGTAAGTTCTACAGGAGAAGGTGGTAAGGATGCATGGAGTACTCGCGGGCAGTAGGGCGGCAGGAAGACATGGTGGGTGGGGTGGGCAAGCAGGCAGGCAGGACGTGAGCCTCATGGAAAGGGACATGACACGGGGTAAGGCAGCTGGAGCCTGCGTCCATGGCACTTCCAGGGGCTAAGGCAGTGATTTCTCCCTGCGGGAGGTGGGTGCAGCATCTCTCTTTCTGCGGGACAGATGGCAGATGCAAGAAGGTTCAACAGTGGCTTAAGGCCATCTAGGTGGTGCATGGGGATGCTGAGCTTGGAACTTGGGTCTGACCATGAAGCCCTTCTTCAGCCTCCCTTCGCCTGATACTTAGCACTCAGTAGCCCGGGTCACAGCTAACGTACTGTTTTATGGCCCTCCCAGATTTTAAACTCAGAGATTATATCTGAATCATCCTCATTATGTATGAAAATGTTGATTGAATGATATCTGATTAAAGATTTCATTGTGAAATTCAATAGAAAAACCCCATTTGATGAGGTAAAGGTAACTGCTTTTATATCCCATTCTGTTACACAGTAAAAAGGAAGAAAACTGCAAATATATTGACCTCAAGTTGTACCTCTTGTAGGGTTTATTTGAGTCCGCTTGACAGTAGGTACCTCAGGGCTTAAGGAAGTAGTCAAGTGTAACTACTCATCTCAAAGACAGGGTGGGTTTCGAGGAACCAGGGGCGGGTCAGCTGCCTCCTGAGATGGGGTAAACAAGGAGCCTTGAAACTGTAAGGGATCGACCCCTCCACCCTATCACACCCTGTCCTGAGAGATGTGGAGCCAAACGGTTTATTCTGCATTTAGCTGATTATGCTATGCGGCAGCCTGGAAATATTGATGAGCAGTAATTTCTAGCCTTCTGGACAGCTGGTGGAAAGGTAGAGGCCCAGGGGATGTGATCCCTAGACTATCAATGTGAAGAGAATGATGCCTGGAAGATTGGTCACTGCAGGGCTAATGCTTGGTTGATAAATCACCTGGGGGAATCGGGCAGCTACCTGGGAGGTCTATAGGGTCATAGATCCCTAGAACACTACAGGTGGAAGGGAGGGGGATGTGGACTCATTGAGGGGTGTAAGTCCTCACTCTTGGACAGCAGAGGAGAGAAACCCATAGTCACACCAGGGACAAACAGTTCCAAGGGCAGAAGGATCTATTCCAGCGAGGCCTGGGGGCTAGTTGATGCGCCCCCTGGTGGCCCTAATGTTTAGCCACACGGCAGTCGTGGACGCTGAGTCATGAAGACAAAGGTAAGGTGGCATTTATGCAGCAGAGGTGCATGAAGACAGCATTCTCCACCCCACTGTTCCATGTATCCCTGTTTTTCCACGGGAGAAAGCAAAGGATGGCCGTAGAATGGAGAGGTTAGGAAACCACAAGGGCAGTCTGACTCCAGAGCTTCACTTTTAACAGTGTGGCCGTGGCCAGAGCACCTTAAGTCTCTATCTATGTTCAGTTTCCTCATCTGTAAAATGGGAATGATTATAGTAGCTACATAATACGCTACTTCTTTTGTGATTAAATGTGCTAAAAAATGCAAAGCACTGAGAAGAGTATGGGAGTACTGTAAGTGCTAAATCAATATCAACACAGATAACGGCCTGAGTATGGGGAAGGCCAGCCCTTTGCCAACAGGCTGGATGTGAGATCTGTTTTCTGAATGCCTTTATCCCATCAGCACTTTGTGTCACAAGGCATCATGTGCTGGGTCCCGGAGACAATGTATAAAACACCCTACACGGATTTTCCTGTTAGGCTAAGAAGATGCCCTGGGGAGAGGGAGCTCATCTCTGATTTTCTGGGTTTGTACAATAAATCCGAGCAGCTCCACGAGCAGATATTCCATTCCTCTGTTCACTCATGAAATTGTATGTTTGCAGGGGGTGATGTGCCTAAAAAAAAGTGTTTTCTCAAACTGTCAGTGATACTTCCTCAGACAGGGATAAACCTCACCACCTTGCTGTTCTCCCTGAAACCACAGGGGGCCGTGTTTCACACGTACAAACCCAGACCCTGGACTCAGACCTTTTGCTTCAATTCACTACCTTCATCACTCACCAGCTGTGAGACCTAAGCAAGTTATTTAACCTCTCTGAACCTCAGTTGCTTTGCCTGCAATAATCCCTTCCTCTTGGGGCTGTGAGCAGCAGAGACATGCCTTTGAAAGAACAGGGACAGAGAGGACTGATCATCACGTGCTGAGTGCTCACGCCTGCGAGGCTGGAGCCCAGGGCTGCTCTCGTGAACTGCATTCTCGCCGTGCCCCTTCGGTATTGGGCACGGTGGCTGATTTTGCACTTGCTAGTGACCTGAGCACGAACCCTGCCGTATGAAGAGGACGGTCACAAATTTCCACGTGTTTCTCCTCTGAGTGGAAGAAGAGTTTCGTGAGGCTCAAGGACCGTGTGTTTGCTCCCAGTTTCATCACCCCACCCAGAGCACCTACGCTGTGCCTGCCCATGTGGGGATCAGCGGTGCAGACAGCAGGTGGCCAGCAGACCTCCCATGGGCTCCAGCTATTTCCTGGCCACTCTTGGCCCAAGGGTCCCTCCCCGTGCAGCTCCTGGAGGACAGAGAGAGAATGTGCTTCGGCGAGAGAAGGAACTGTCTGCACTCACTTCCACCAGGGATTTTTTGATGACTCGGCTGATGTCCCTCCTCCACTCAGGGATATCAGGGTTGTAGTCATCCAGGTTCGGAGAGAAGGACAGGCGAAGGGATCGGAATTCCTCTGGGGATACAACAGTAGGGGGATTACGCAAAGTCCAATAGGTTCCTCGAAAGTGTGTTACATATTGCATGCAAAGCCTTGACAAAGGGCCCTTTTCCTCCCCACTCGCCAAAGACAGCCTTCTAGAAGACAAATCTGCTATTCCATCTGAAATCTACTGTCTCTCCCAGCCCTCATTTTCTAAACCAGAGCCGTAGGTCTGGCCCATGCCTCGCTCTGCAGCCTCTGCCCACCGGTCCCGGTTCTATACTGAGCCCTCGAGGACACCAGAGCCCCGGAGTGCCCTGGATGCACCGCAGGCTTCTGACCCTGGGCCTCTGCACACACTGTCCCTCCCACAGAATGCGCATCCCTTCTCTCTGCCACACACACAGCGTTCAAGCTCTAGTTCGAGCACTTAGCGACGGCATACTCTCCCCCGCCATGGTTCAACACTCTCTCTCCATGGCACTACTGTGTCTTGCACACATTCCCATTATCATTATATGATTTTATAATTATTATTTGATTACATGATTATAATTATTACTAGAGTCATTCTGTTGCTATGTTTTGCTTGTATGGAAGTTTTACTTCATGGAATTTTAAACTCCTTAACTCAAAGAATTTGTTAATTGTCTTTGCAGCCTCTGAGTTCATCTTGGTCCTCCCGAAAGTAGGATGGGATTGCAAAAGCAAGGGTGTTAGGAGGAGAAGACAGGGAGGCTGAGGAGCAAGGGAGCACTGCAGCACTGAGATGCATATGTGACACCTGTGGAAGGGAGGGAGGCTTGGTGACCGCCCTGAAGCGTGGGGAAGGTCCGGCGGGACTGTCAGGGAGTCCTTGACTCATGGCAGTGATGGAGGAGTCCCCTGTGTGCCAGGGATGAGTCTGCCTCCATATGCCTGTCACATTCGGTCAGTGGCTGTGGTCAGCACCTGAGAGGCGTGGCCTTGGCCCAAGACAGTGATGGGTTTCAGAGCCCAGCCCTGGGGAACTCAGTCCCGGACAAGTCGGGTCATGTCACCACCCTAACACCTGCTAGTGGCTTTTAGAAAAAAAAAAAAAAAAAAAAAAAAAAAAAAATCAGCTTCTTTACCACGGCCTTCATCATCCCATAGAACCCCGGGCCGAATTTCCCTGCTGCCTACTCCATGCTCCTCTGTGCTCCAGGACCCCTCCGGGCTGCCATGCTCCTTCCCTCATGAGCACATTCCACTCTCCAGATATGGCACAGTCGGCTCCTTCTCATCACCCATCAGTCTCTCCCAGGAGAAACTCGGCCACTAGCAAACTGAGTTACCCTCCTTTCTGCTACCTCAGATACCCTTCATCATATGACCCTATTTGTCATCTTCGCACTCCTTGCCACTTAAATTCTTTTGTTTTTACTGTCTGTCTCCCACACTGAGACATAAGGTCAATGAGGACAGGAAGGTCGTGTTCCTGGCCCCGTGAGATGGTACCCAGCAAATGGTAGGTTTTCAATTACTAGCTAGTCATTTAATAAATTTGTTAAATAAATAAATACATAACACTGGAGGCTCTCTGTAATTTATGCATTTACTTATTCAACAAACATTTCTTTCTTGTTTAAAGCATGTCTTCATGTTTCAGTAGGGGCTCAGTGATATCCGTAATGCTGATTATACATTCAGGAGACATAAAAGCCCACTTGCACATTTCCTAACAATGCTAAAGACTTATCAGACGCAGGGTTTGAAGACTCTTAAATTACAGGGGGTGTATTATGGCAGTCAGCCTATTTCAAAGATGTATTTTTCACAGCTTGACTATTTTATGAGACACTGGTCACCTATGTGAACATCACTTCAGTTCTGATGTAGAATAATGAAATTCACCTTAATTAGTAACATGGTAAATGGGAGTACCCAAGGAATCAGCCACTGAGTCCTAACTTTTCACTTTAAAGATATAAATTGATGTCATTTTCACTTTCCCTGAACCCCTTACCCAACTGTAGAAACTTCATCTACAAGGGAAGCTGTTTATCTTAATAAAAAGACACAAATAGAAAAATAATGTGGCTCTCTCTGTAATAACTTAGCAAGCTCAGTAGCAGGACACAGGAGTGTTATACTTAAGTTTACTCAACAAACAGGTGCATGTGGGAGCACTAAAAAAGGTAAATACCAGTAATAAACACACACAGACACACACAGACACACACACAGTTGAGCTTTGAACCATGTGTAGTTTAGGATGCCATCCCTCACCCTGGTAGTTGAAAACCCATATTTAATTTTTGACTCCCCAAAAGCTTAACCACTAATAGCATACTGTGGACCAGGAGACTTACTGATAACAGAGTCAATTAACACATATTTTGTATGTTAGTTTTCATATACAGTATTCTTACAATAAAGTAAAACTAGAGAAAAGAAAATGTTATTAACAAAATCATAAGAGAAAATACAGTTATAGTCCTGTACTGTAAATGTACAGTACAAAAAAATCCATGTATAAGCGGACCCTTGCATTTCAAACCTGTGTTACTCAAGGGCCAACTGTATTTGTGTGTGTGTGTGTATGTGTATTTGCAGCTGTTGATGCAGATGAATTCTACACATTTACATTTTCTTTTTTGTATTTAAAAGCAAACCTGTGCCCTGAAGCAAATTAAGGAAAACAGTGCAAACTAGATTAACTAGATTTTCTTTACTGCAGTTTATTTCGTGGCTTTGGGTGGACAGTTTTTCCCCTGTCAATTTCCCAAATATAATGCTTCCTGCAGTCTGACCATGAGGGCCTTACTGTTCCCCTCAGCTTAACTAAATTTTAGACAAGTTTCTTCCTGACTGCAGGTCTCTGATGTCTCTTTACTTAGAGCATTTACTTTAGAAAACCTGCAATTGTAAATTCCTTCTCTGCTCTTCTGAGATACGCACCTTCTCCAACCCAGGAATGTGTCTCGCAGGAACCTGGGAGGCATCTCTTTGAAATGTAACCATCAAGAAAGATAGAAAAAGAGTACGGAGGTTCCTCAAAAAATTAAAAATAGAACTACCATATCATCTAGGAACTCCCCTTCTGCGTATTTACTAGAAAGAAACAAAAATACTAACTTGAAGAGGTATCTGCCTCCCCACGTTCACTGCTGCATTATTCACAATAGCCAAGATATGGAAATGACCTAATTGTCCATAGACAGATGAATGGATAAAGAAAGTGTGGTATAGACATACAATGGAATATTATTTAGCCATAAAAGAAAGAAATCCTGCCATTGGTGACAGCATGGAGGTACGCTAAGGGACTTGTGCTAAGTGGAGTATGTCAGACTGTATGATCTCACTTATATGTGGATCTCACTTATATGTGGAATCCAAAAACAAAATAAAAAGCAAAACCTCAGATACAGAGGATTGGTGGTTGCTAGAGGCAGGGGTTGGAAGGTAGGCAAAATGGGTGAAAGGGTCCAAAGGTACAGACTTCTAGATATAAAATAAGTAAGTCACAGCATGGTGACTATAATTATTAATACTGTACTGTAAGTTTGAAAATTCTTAAGAGAGTAGATCTTAAAAGTTCTCATCACAAGGGAAAAAAGAATTGTAACTACATACAGAGCTGGAGGGTCACTAGATTTGTGGTGATCATTTCACAATATATGCAAACACTGAATCATTATGTTGTACACCTGAGACTAATACAATGTTGTAGGTCGACTGTATCTCAATAAAAGAATAAGATCGATATACTATTGCCATGTATACTATGAGAGCAAGGAAAGAAAAGGAAAGAAATGGAGGAAGGAAGAAAGGCCCTCTGTCTCCTGGAGGGTAGGAGCCTAATTTCCAGAAGCACAATTAACAAACACGGATGGTCTAATCACATTGATAATCCCCTCACCCCCAAATTCCTCCAGTACTTTTCCATTAGGTCATCCCAGGGTTTAAAAATATTCAACTTTTGTTTCATTTGAGTTCAATCTTGCCCGTTGAACTCCGTGTGATATAATTTGTCTTTAATAGGTCACGCGTGTCATTAAAATGTTCTAGTGATATATATGAAACTGACGCTTCATCTAACTGAAGACGAATTAAGGATGTTTGCTCAGAAATTTGGTTAGGGGAGGGAAGACCACTTCCTTGCTCAAGCTTTGGATGAAGAGACCGTTTTTAGTGAAGGTAACTCACTGGATGGAGAGTGATCCACTCTTGGATGACACTGTTCAAGACATTTTAGAAGAGGAATAGGTAAGCCTGGCGAGGGAGTGCGAGGTGGTTAGAGACATTCCTTCTGGATTCAATTCCTAGGCTCTGTTTCTTATAGTTATTTCATATTTTCTCATTTGCAAAATAGGAGTAAAAATAGCATATTTCTCATAAGTCTGCTCAGAGGATTCAAGGAAATATATTTATCAAGTGCTTAGAAGAGATCCTAGTAAGGGCTTTGTCAATGTTAATTTCTATCACTACCATCGCTGTTTATTATTATTACTGGAGCTGTCACTGAAGAGCAGGATGACTTGAAACCAGAGATTTCCCACTTCTGAGCTACAATTTCCTATTTGGGAGATGATGGGATGGGCCACATAAGCCCAAAGACCTTCTAGGTTTAACAGTCTCTCCATGGTTTTGATGAGGCTGCTGATTGGCTTAACCAAGAGGACACATGTGGGGTGTCATGGGTCGTGATGCCCATGACAGCCAGGAAGGAGAGAGAGGAGAGAGAGGAGAGAGAGAGCCTCACATGGAACAGCCATGAGAACTGGTTAGTGGGGTCATTACAGAGCATGGGCCCTGGGTCTAGATAGGCTGGGTTAGAAGCCCAGCTCAGCCACATATAAGCTGGGGCAAGTTACCTGCCCTGCTGAAGGAACAAGAGTAATAACATCACCTACCCTTTGCTAGGGTTGTTGTGAGGATTCAGTGCATTCCCAGAGTACAGAAAGGAGATGCAGAAGGAAAAAGAAGCAGAAGCTCTCCTCCATTTTGTCCACCTGGCTGAGAGGTCTCCTCATTGACGGGACCTTGTTAGGAAAACCACAGCCCTGGTTTGCTTTCAGTTACTGTTTGGACTTCTCAAGCCTCTTGCAGGCGGTTGGGGGTGGGGGGCAGTGGGCAGGGGAGGGGAGGAGGGAGGAAACATTATGAATCTAATACGATTCATAGGGCATTCGAAGAATAGTGTACTCAGACTTGTTCAAAGTTCCTTACAAATTACTTTTTGAATTTGAAGGTCCAGTTGGCAAGATGAGCAATGAAAAGCAGAATCTGCATCAGAACCAAATAATTCTGGGACTGGGGCAATTGATATTATTTGGACCACTAGCTAGTTTCTCTCTGTCTCTCTCTGTCTCTATCTCTTCCTCCTTTCATCCCTCCCTTTTGCTCTGTCTCTGCACAGCATTTACCTTTCCTAACTTCTTTTAAATTCTTGTTGTTTTAAATTTTAACTTTCCATGATGCATATGTACCACTTTGATATGAGCAATAAATACACTTTACATTTTTATCATCCACTAATAACACTCAGTGCATACCTATCTTTCTCTGCAGACAAAAATTACCAAAATGAGATCAATTTGTATAAACTGTTTTTAATCCCGCATTTTCAGTCAGTGATCCTACCTTTCCACTTCAGTAAACTTTCACTCCATGCAATACTGACTATATTCAACTTCCCAACCAATTAGAAGATTGTTCTGTACAGCTGTTTGTTCAAACTAATATCCAATCTAGGATGATACGAGACATCTGCTTGTGTGGCCCTTCATCGCTTTTCATCCAGCAGAGTCGGTTTTTGTTTTTGGTTTTTTTTTTTGATGATACATATTTGAGGGAGAGATTTTCAGAATATATAGATATTGGTATATTGTTCTTAATAATCAAGACTCTTAAAGTTGAATTTTAAAATAGCCTCAATATTAACTATTTTCTAATGGGTTTTTGTTATTCAAACACTGCCAAAATACCAAATGGAATGAATCAGCTTTACGTGTAATGAAGCTCATTCTATCCCACTTCAGGTGAGTGAGAGTAGAAGAGCCATTTCAGAACACAAACCAATAAAGGCTCTGGGGGTCTTGGGGCCATAACTTTGCTGGTGAAATCACATTTCCCCCAAGGGAGGAGACCAGACCTGACTCAGCTCTTTCTCCACCACCAGCCTCTGTTCTCTGGGTGGAGGCCTGGTGGTCTCTGGTAGCCTACAAGCACCCTACCGCCCTAAGCGTGGGGCCAGCCAGGGGCCCATGCACACAGGCACTCACCATACACCGCGATGGTCTTCGTGTCTTGCAGGATGGCGTTCCCAGCTGAGACCTGCACTGTGATGGTGTTCATCCCTTCCGAAGTAAACTTGAATGATATGCTTCCCTCCAAGGTGATCAGAGGCTGAAACAGGGGAGGGCACAGAGTGAGGGGACAGCTGGCCAGACACCGATGAGACAGCCGTGAGCTCCGAGCCACCAACCAGCCACTTAAATCAGCACAGGCTCTTCCCGGGGTGCCCCATGCAACTGGCTCCATCTGCTTGCCCGTCATCTCCAGTCCGGGCCAGAAAAGCGTTATTAGAGCCATGACCCCAAGCGACTCTGCCCATTCCCTGTGACTAGGACACCTCTCTTCTGGTGTCATCCTGATTCAGGGCTGGGGAGATGGATAGGTCTTGCTTGCTGACGGGACAGATCTCTCTACCTGCAACCTACTCGTAACAGGCAGGTCTCTTAATACAAAGAAATACTCAGATTGGACCCACACAGGCAGCTCATGTTAATCCAGATGTAGGCAGCAGTCACTGAAAATCTCTAAGCTTCCAGTTGGTCATCACCAGGGGTACGATTCATAGAATATTCCGATGGAACACAGCAACCATGGACACCAAAACTGTCCTCGTTAGACTGGAGTGGCCTTGTTTGGCTTGGTTCCTCTAAGAAGCCCTATCAGCTGTTTCTGGAAGTAGCTGCTATGGAAACAAGTACTAATTGGATAGTGGTTTGAGGACTGAAAAAAAAATACAATTTGGAGTCGTGCCTGTGATAGAATCGGACGCCGGGGTCCTGGAGGAAAAGATGATTAGCCTAATGACCTCCCTCAATTCATTCTGCACAAACATTTCTTTCCTGTCTTTTCTTAATTAATTAAAAAATCTAAATTCATGTAACCAACTCCCTGTATAGCAGAGGGAAGACCAACGCCCAGCATAAGAAGCCTACTCAATGTAATCTGTTGAGAATTTGGTTTTCTGCTGTCAGGTTAAAAAACAAAAAAAACAAACAAAAAAAGGAGACATAGAAAAAAGTTTAGTACATTCATCTTCTAGCACGAGCTTTTAGGCAAATAACTTAGATTTCCCCTCTGCCACTGTGGGTAGTGGGCCCAATTTAGGCCACATTTACCTGCAGAGTTTCAGAAGAAATTAAAAAAAGCTTCTTTTCAGAGGAGTTAAATTAGCAGTAGAGGTGAGCATTTCCTTCCCCTGCCAGGCATGTAGCAGGTCTGGGGTCAGGGGAGGTTTCCTCCCTGGGCCTGTGCAAAAATCATGACTCCAGTTAAAGCCAATGTTCAGCTCTGGGGTAGAAAAAGATTGGCGTCAGAATAAGATACACTCTATTTGAAGAGCAAAACCACCAAGTGCAAACAGCGGTTCTGCTGAGGAAGACGAAGCTTTCTCATCCTGAGCAGCTCATGCCAGTGCCCTTTGGGGAGGCCTTCGCCCGGACTGCCTTAACTGCCATTTGGAAGCAAACTGTAATCTCTGAGAATGGAGGAAGTTCAAAACGGACCTGGCAGCCTGGCATCAGGGGAAGGAAAATACATGTGGGCATGGGAAGGCCTTGGATCCGGCCTCCACGTGAAGCAGCTGAACGAGGCGGGAGGAAAGCCCTTCACGTGTGTCCTCCTGACTTTATCATCTGTAAAATGAAGGCCTTAGAGTAAATGAGGTTTAAGGTCTCTGCTACTTTTAAAGTTGCTGCTGACTTTTGATCGCAGGGCATGTTTTGGGAAAAGAGAAAGGGTAAAGCTGAGAGAAAGGAGCGACCACGTCCGATTCAGGGGGCCTGGGGGCCGGGCTGTAATAAGTATTTGTTGCTTTTGACTGTCTGGTATCTACTGTTTTTTGGGGGGGCATTTTCCCCCTTCTCTTGGTCCATGTGGTTCCAAGGAGGCTGACTTCAACACCTCTCTTTCTACCCCAAGCACTGGGAAGGCTTGGTCAATGATACTCCATCCTGGGACTTCTGCTCATTTTCTCTGCTTAGCTGTGAGAATATAAAGCTCGGGCTCCTGCTAATGTCTTTGCAAAGGGAAGGGCAGTTGGAGAAGAAGGTAACATGGAGGAAGGCACAGGTGAGGGGCAGGGGTGGAGTGGTGAGAGAGAGACAGAGGGACAGAGGGAACACACTGATGAGATTATTGGAGCACTATGAGCCCGCTGTGCCCGAAGCTAGGACTACCCCTGGACTCTTGAGTTACATAAGCCCTTTCCTTCCCTTTCTCCCTTCAGCCAGTTTGAGCGGAGCTGTGGCTAGATGCTGCATGGAAGGCTGACCCACCTCCGTGTTGTTTCCGTACCACCACACGTAAGTAAGGGTGCCCACTTGGCTGGGCCACAGCACTGCCGTTGCGTTGACCTCTTTGTTCTTCGTGGTGACAAAGGGAAGAGACAGGTGTACATGCTCCAGGGGACCTGAGGCACAAGAGAAAAGACGAGGCATAGAGAAGGAAGAGCTTTCTCTGCTTCACCTTCCCTGCTCTGAAGAGAATACATATTTGTTCTGGAAGCCTCCAAAACATCACAGTCATACTCCCTGAGGAAAGTGCTAAGGGGCTTTCCCTACTTTGGAGAAAAGCTATCTTGTGACCCACTGTGTCTCAACATTTTCCATTTACTGATCTTTCTGCCAGACCTAAAACCTGAGTTATTTATGTGTAAAACTTTAAAAACTTACAAGTAATTTATGAATTCCTTAAATGAAGAGGCATAATACGAAGATGCAAAGTCTTTCTAAGAGATTGTATCCGTGGTGGTAAACCAGGATGATGAAAACCTCACGGACTCCATGTGTGTGGCCGTGGGGGGAGGGGGTGGTGGTTACGGCACAAATCCCCAAACCATTCTAGATGTCATTATCCTTGACTCTTTGTTGGGATTTCCAAGATCTGTATATGTGCAAATCTGTGTGTTTGTGTGTGAGAGTGTGTGTATCTCTCTGCAGGAATATATGTAACACCACCTGGTTCAAACTGTTTGGTGTTGAGTTCAGTTTGTTCAGGATCAAGTATGCATGAGCAGGTAGAGACAGCTTTGTGGTTCTCCGGATGTGCTCAACTAAAAAAGGGGATGATTCTACCTATGGAGATCCATTAGAGAGAAGCCTTGATCAGATGCATAAACCCACAAAGCTATGAGTTCTCTCTTCAGAGAGAACAAGTAGGGACCTTCCTCTGACCCTTGGTCTTCCCTTTGAGTCACTTCTCCTAGGCAAAAATGCAGTTTCCTCTGAAGTGAACGTGGCAAAAATCTGTCATCCCACCATTATTCCATGAGGTGGAGAAGAAAGTGGTACCTTTCCACCTAGTTTAATCACCACCTCTTCTGCTAGATCTTTAAATGTGTTTCCTACAGTACTGACTTTGGCCTTTTTTCCCCTCCATATACTGTTCTGCGGAGTAATCTCATCCACACCCTGACCTTCAACAATAAACTACATGCTCATAACTCAAAAACCACCTACTTGACTCGGGACTCAATTAGGAGCCAGATGTTCCTAAGAAATTCATTATTCCCCCCTGCCCATTTTCTATTCTCCATGTCTTGATGAATGGAAACCAATGTTTATCCAGGGGACCAGCCCAGAAGCATAAAGTCAATCTGGATTCCTTATTCCTTGCCACCCATTCTATGCTGGAAACCACTGGCTTGGTTTCATAACTATTTCTGAGTGAGAGCTCCTCTCACCGTCCCCAATCCTTCCCTAGCTCATACAGCTGGACTGTCATGAGCCGTACCAATCTTCCTGCCTCCGACCTGCCCCCAAGCTAATCCACCCTCCTGCTCTATGTGTTCAGTGTGTGCCTTCCTCAGTAATAATTAGTTGCACCAAGTGCCAGGGTCCTCAGGCCCCAGAATAAAACATATAGTCCAAGGTCAGGGTAGAGCAAGTGCAAAGATCTTGAGGGCGAGGTGGTTCTCCATGTTTGCAGAATAGAAAGAAAGCCCAAGCAGCTGCATAGAGAGATAGAGGGAAACAGTGGGAGCCAATGAGATCTAAGAGGGATTGAGGACACATAGCATATTGTTTTGTAGGCTCTGAAGTATGCATATGTGTGTTTATATGAGTTCATTCTCACATGTATGCACATTATACATTCATACCACATATGGCAATGACTTTATATCTTCTCACACTACAAACTGTTGTGAGAGTGATTTTTTAGAAAGCTAAGTTGATCATGCTACTTGTTCGAAATTAAAATTCCCACTACCTAATGATGATGATGATGATAGTTAACACAAATTGATCTAAAATTTGTGAGACAGAGAACACAGGCTGCAAACTTTCGGAGGGTAAGAGTGTTTCATATCTATCTTTGTATCTAAAGACTAACATAGTTCCTGAGATGTAGCAGATAATCGAATGTTTGTTGGGTAGGTGAATAGATGGTGCAATTTCTTGTTGCTGCTTTTGTCTATGCTTCTCTCTCTTTAGAGAATTAGAGGCTTGGTGACCAGCATACAGAATAGAATTGATTTTCTGGCTTATAAGCCATATGATAAGAAGTAGTTGTTCATAAGTCAGAACGGTTCAATGTGCTAAAAAAGGGCAGCATCTACTGAATGATGACCATGTGCCACATATTTTGCTAATGACTCTTTTCATTCTCATTTGCTCCTCACAACAACCTCACGAAGTAGGCACGACTATCATTTCCATCTAGAGATGAACAAACAGAGGACAATGACTCTCCCAAGGTCACGCAGCTAGGAGACATCAATTCCAGGGTGTGGGCCGAAGCAGTTTGATTTTAAAGCCCATGCTCTGGCCAGCTGACAAAGGCTCAAAAAGATCTCTCCCATATTGCACTTTACACGTGCTCTCATTTCTTACATGGCTCTCCTGTTTCCTATCACTCAGTTTGCTCCAGCAGGTTCTGCCTTGTTCTGTCCTGAGGCCGCGGCATAGACTCCTCTCTCAGGGCACCTGTCAGCCTTTGAATCTCAGGCCCAGTGGCCAGGCTTCTGGAATATTCTTTCTGACTCCCCTGATTGGAGGAGAGTGACTCAGCTAGAATACAAGGACTAGATAAACTCTCTTAAGCATGCCGGTTCCATCCTAAAGGGGTTCATTTTCTGTGTCTCTCTCACATATGAGTACTGAATATTTTTTTAAAGTCTGACCTTCAAAGTAAGGATGGTGACTGTGTGTCCTGTTAATGGCAAAAATGGAATCTTCTTCGGGAAATGTGGTCATTCATTCAACAGTTTCAGAGGGCTGCCACATGTCAGGCATTATTCTAGGTGCTGGAGACACCTGCTACTTGGTGGAGCTCATGTCTTATTGGGGGAGGCGGGCACTGAACACATACAGCGGGGGTAGGTGATAGAGTGCTGGTTTTGTCTCTCAGGAGAAATGCCATGTGAGCAGTGACCTGAATGAAGTGAAGGAGTGCACCACATACTCTTCGTGATGCTCTAGGATGAGGGCAGGGCAAGCGCAAAGACCTTGAGGAGGAGGTTTGCTTGCCATGTTTGAGGAACAGCAAGAAAGCCCAGGTGGCTGCAGGTGAGAAACGGAGGGAAAGAGTGGGAGCCAATGAGATCTAAGGATTCAGGACTCGCAGCGTATCGGCTAGTCGGCCCTGAAGTATGCATAGGTGTGTTTGTAGGAGTTCATTCTTGCAGGTGTGCACATTACACATTCATTCAAATGTGTGCAATTTACCTTTCATATTCCTGCCTTGTCCTCTTGTACTCATTTACTTTTCAGGTGCTTAACACACCTAGTTCCTGCTGCCGGAAAGCCTATCTTTTAAGCATCTCTTCTACGTACAGAGGGTGCAGTCTGCACTAAGCGAGCTGAGCTGCGGAGGTACCACTCCAGCCCCTGGAGGCCCCCAGCTGGCTGGCTGCGCTAAATCCAGAGCTGAACCAGCCAGCAGATGTGGCTCCAGCAGACAGGTGCCTGTGATGCACAAAAGGGACAGCGGGTGGCGCTGCATCATTCCATATGAATCTTCCTGGCAAGGTGGGTGAGGGAACTGGGAAATTGCCTGTGGAATTGGGTCTCCCTCTTTCCTTGCTTAGCCCTAATGTGCTATAGGAAGCAGCTGACGTTTGTGAGGCTGAACATCGTGTGTGTGTGTGTGTGCGTGTGTGCACGCGCGTGTGCGTGTGCATACACATACCTGTAACGCTTGTTCTGGACTGTCCCTGCCATTTGTTTTGGAGACAGTCTCTTTTGTTTGTCTGAAATGTGAAAAATACTCTAGAAAAAATAAGAGTTGTTCAAAGTATAAAGATGAGATCCTAAAACGGAGTTCCTTAAACTTCAGTGTGCAAAAGGATTATACTAATCTGTTCAAGGCAGATTATGATGCACACGTCTAGGAATTCCAATATAGCACGTCTGGGATGAGGCCTAGGACACTCACTCTATTTTTATCATGTAATTCTGGGGCAGGTAACTCATTAAACCACACTTTACAAAACCCAAGTCTGCCGTTTGTTGGCCAATATAATAATCACGTGAAAAGTTGCAAAGCTGCGTGGGTTTTCAAGAAAACAGTCACTCTAACACAGGAACAGAAAGACATCTGCAAATGGCACCTGTGTATGGAGGTAATTGGGGAGATTTGGGAAGAACTAGGAAATCTGTCTCATCGTTTTTTGCTTTTTCAAACCTCCCATTCTGCAAATTTGCATAGTTTTCAGTGACTTTTCTGCGAGACTGGCTGAGATGGGGCAGCCTTCTGAGCAGAAATCTGCATGTCCTCTAAATTCTGCCGCCTGCCCCGCCGGCCGAAGGCAACACTGGCTGCGCCATGTGTTGCATTCGTTTGCCAACTAGCAGAGCACAGTAAATCCTGTCCCCAAGGACTTTCCAACTGTCAGGGTACAACAGATGACCCAGCCTCCCAGTGAGAACGGTTGGTCCACGCCTGGGAACATCAGAGCAGGCACATCATCTCCATCTGTTTCTGATGACCTTTGCAAACCCATATTAAAAAAAAACAAAAACAAAAACAAAAACAAAACAAAGCCCTCTGGCCTTCGGCTCAGGTCATGATCCTGGAGTCCTGGGATCGAGCCCCGCAGGGCTCCCTGCTCAGCAGGGAGTCTGCTTCTCCCTCTGACCCTCCTCCCTCTCATGCTCTCTGTCTCTCATTCTCTCTCTCGCAAATAAATAAATAAAATCTTTAAAAAAAAAACCCAAAACAAAAAACAAAGCCCTCTGATTTGGAATCAAATCACCTGTCTGACCTGGAGAGGAGAGAGAGGGTATACCATCAAGTCAGGCAATGGGGGAGAATTCCAGGCAAGGGGAGGGGTCCTGGTGACAGAGGCAGAGGGCAGGCATGGAAAATGAGCTAAGAGTTGCTGCTCCGAACCCACTAAGTAGAAACACACGCACTGCTTTGTGATAATGGAGAGGCAAGCTTTACTAGCTGACGGGTCACAGCATATTTTGCTTGAAGGAACCTTTGAGAAACAAGATGTGCCTTCTCACATGACAGAGGAGAAAACCTAGGCTCAGAGAAATGGAGTGACTTGGCCAGGAGTTCAGGCCAGCATCTGCACCTAACCACTCCTAACCCAGGCCAGTGTTCATTTGTCTTTTCTACAAAGAATACCCCCTGCCCTGCCCCCAGGCCCTGGGACTACAGCACCAAAAACTGCCATGATCCCTTTCAGGTTTGAGATTTGGGGGAATCTTAATCACTTATGGTCTTGTTCTGACTTCCTCTTAGTGTAAAATAGCATCAAAGACAAGGTCCTTCTCCAATCTCTGCTTTCTCCTTCGGAAAGCCATGCCCATCATTGTGCGAGGCAGAGTCCTGCTTCGACAGAGTTAGTATGAAATACTTAATTCTTATGGCCAAGGTCAGGCTTAGAAAGGGGTTCCATTATATGAAGTATGCTTATCCGAACACTGAACCCAAGATGAGCCTAACAAAATTAAAATCAGACCACAAAACTTCCCCTTACAAAGCATCTGCCCCTACGGTAAAAGTCACACTGCTGAGCCCCTCAACTTGGCTAAAGAGAAGACAAAAAAAAAAAAAAAAAAAAAAAGTGAAAAAGAAGCTTATTTCTTTTAGAAGTCCTGGCATCAGCAACCTTTGATCTCTGTGCTGGTTTCCTTCCCAGGGTCAAGTAAACCTGGCAGAGGGCCAGGGTAGGGAACTAGCCCTCAAGGGATACGATCATTTTTGGGGGCGAGGACGAATCCAAAGGGTGACCAGGAGGGCAAGGTGTGGGTGATCTACAGGAGAGCCTGAGAAACGGAGACCAAAAAGCTGCTGAATTTGAAATCAGGATTCACATGTGGTTAGAGTGCGGTAGATGTTTCATACATATACAAGATATGGACTAAAATTACTGTAATTCTTCAGGAGAGCAGCTCTCAAACAAAAATCCTCCCCTTACAGAATAAGCCATGGAAAATGAGAGGCTGCTAGGTAGGCGGTCATTCCCAGCAAATGTACTGGCGTTTGTGCCGTAAGTTAGTTTGGCTACCAATAACCAATGTTTGTGATGTATTTCTGAGAGATTTTCTGACCATTCCTTAGTAAGGAAGATTATTTCTTAGTAGGAGGCAACTCCAGAAAGTCCATACGGGACAGCCTGGAGAGGGGAGGGGCCACCGCGGCGTCAGAGGGGCCTCTGAAATGTGCCTTGAACCTACGTAGTTGCCTAGCGAGTTGCTTAAGCTCCTTTGAGACAATCTGCAAAGGGGTGGAGGGGACAAGGGCTGCTGGAGACAAGTTCTATCACCGACAGCACTGACAATGACCTTGGGGATCAAGAGCTGGCATTCCAGAGACGGGTAGACCTGAGTCTGAAGCCTGGCTTTGCCAGATAGCAGGTCCGCAATTTCAAATACATTATTCAAGCTCTCTGGCCCCCACTGTTCTTTGTAAAGTAGGGTTTCTAACAGTGCCTACTTCATCAGGTTGTTTTGAGAAATGAGATCATACATGCAAAGAGCTTGCTTAGCACAAGGCTTGGCGCATAGTAATTGCTTAATAAACTTTAGCTGAAAAGAGGCAAGAGGAGTGTGCAGGCTGTGAATCTTATAAAACTTTGCTTAAACCCAAAGAAGGGAAGATGTGTTTCCCTCAAAGCACATTTGTCATGAGTGTGTGGGAGAGAAAGATCAAGAATCACCGATACCGGAGGAATCCTCAGTAATAAACAATCACCCGGGGAATCCCTAAAGAGTCTTGTCCTCCCACTGGACCACAGCAGCTTAAGAAAAAAGGAATCTAGTTGGTATGTTCTGTACGCCGTTCAATGCGCAAGAGGCAGGTGGGAGGCATGGGATATGGCCAGCCTTAACGCTCTTGGCCTAGAATTTAGAATTAATCTGGACAAGGCCATTGGTAAAAGGAGCTGCTTTCATTGTAGAAGGCCAGCACCTTATCCATTAGGTCACTGGGGTTTCACGTAGCTACCTTCATTTCAAAGCAAAGCATTTCTGTGGCAACGTAAACATGCCCAAAGCCTGTTTGGGGACACCCACACACTTGCTGCCAGGGGCATTCATGGAGCACGTTTGTTCCACACATAACTTAGGAGCTGTCGTGACCTCATCATACTTATTACACCTTCATATTCCTCGATGGTACAAACGCTTCAACCCTTCTCAATGCAGCTCTTTCCCTCTCTCAACACCACTTTCCCTCTAACACCACACATCACAGATAAAGGCCCAGGAAACGCTTTAAAAAAGGAGCAAAAGTCTAAAAGCGTAATTTACTGTGAGACGTATCATGGGAAGAGAAGCATAGTCAGATGGGAAGAAATTCCATCACTTGCACTCATTCTCAATGTATTAGATTGAGCCATATGTGGGGATTGTTTTTAAATGTTTCTGACTTAGAAAAAGACAAACTCATGTGCAATCAAAGAGCTCGGCCAGTGGCCAGACACAGGGGTGCCATGTCAGAGGTGCCTGGAAGAGGCACAGTAAGTGCAATGAGAACAAGTTCAAGCAACACAAATTCTAGGATTATTCAAGCTCCACTCCCTGACTTTCTTTTTACTTTTTCCCCACTCGGCTCTCTTATCCTCCTTCCCCATCTCCTTAAAGATAACTGGCGAGCTGCTTCTAGACAGGAAGCTCTGGGTTATACTTTAAAAGGGACACGATATTTGAAATAGGTCATAAACCAACAACAGTAATAACATACAAGTTACATGTAAGTACAGGACGGCGCTGTCAGAGCCCAGACTGTTGTCCACCTGCACGGTCACTCGGAAAATGCCCACGTTGTGATAGACATGCTTGATCCCATCTTCCATGGAGCTGAGGTTGACATAAGACACTGCAATGCCATCACCAAAGTCCACTTGGATGAGTGTCCTCTGGACGTCACCCTGAAAAACAGCCCAACATCAGATAAGGGGAGCCGATGCTTGCCGCTTCTGCCCCAGGGGCTGGGGCTTGTCCCCATCCCTGGGTCCCTGGCTCAGGGCTAACGGCAGACTCTGGCTCCCTCCTGCAGCTGGGAGCATCTGTCTGCATTCGACAGAATCCCTGTGACATTCCCTGGCAGACAGGAGCTTACCAAGATGGATATTCTCCAAATCTGAAGGGCACCCACCACCAAAAGTTTCAAGGTTTGGAAAACTAAATCTTTGATGATCCGTTCCAATTGGATATTCAATTTCTCTGAGGGATCTGTTTACACTCTTATCGTCCCCATGAATAAAAGGTGTACACACACAGCTTTTTAAAGATTCAGCCTGCCTGACATGGTTACAGACCTCTTCCCTTGTGTCTAGGACCCTGGAATCCTCTTCTTATTCCTGGTTCCCTAACCATGTTAGAGGAAGGATAAAAGACACCTTGCCTCACACCTGATAGGACATTGGGCTCAGTGCTATTATTATTTAAGATAATGATGGTTAATTCTTTTATACTCAGTATTTTGTGCTATAAAAAATGATAATGTTTTATTCTTCACAGAATCTTAGCTGGGAGAGAAAAACAGGCCACATTTGTCCATTTTACTGGTAGGGAAGCTGAAGTCAGGAAAGACTTAATTATCTGTTCAAGGTTAACACAGCTAGTTAGGGGCAGACCTAGGATTTGAACCCATCTCTGTGGACTTGCATTTCATTCATTATAGGTGGATAAAGCACAGACGGTTCCTCCGGGCTTGAATCCCAGGGTGCCATTAGCAAGCTGCATGACTTCATGCAAGTCATTCAGCCTCCTTGGGCTTCGGTTACCTCATCTATGAAACGGGCATCATAATACGTTACTGTCTTCACTCAAGGGGTTGTTATAAGACATGTGAGTTAATTAATCCTCTGTAAAAATTTGGACCAAATCAATGACTGTCAAAACCATGCAGCTGTAAAGGGCATGCAATCCCCCTTTTACAGCTGGATTGGAATCATACAGATCTAAATTTCCCAGTGGGAGGTAAGAAGAGGGAGGATAAAAGTCTGCTTTCTAAAATTCCAGACCTGTAAGAAAACTGTTTTGGAATAACAGTAGAGATTCTTAAGGAACAAAGTTTCTTAGACCCAACTGACAAAAACCAGCTTCTTTCCCATGCAGCCTATCCTTTATCAAGTTTTTCTTGTTTGTTTTGTTAGCTTTTCCCATTTTCAAGGAAAAAAAAAAAACTAAAAAGAAAAAAAAACCCCAGAAACCACACACACACACAAACTCTTTGAACTAAAAAAAAGTATTTTCGATTAAGTAAGGTTCATATGGTACCATATTTTTTGAAAAGGCCAAGTTTAAAATGCTGACATTTAAAAGATTAATTCACAGGGAAAGGAAAAGCAATTCAAATCCTATGAATCTCTATGACCTACTCTTCTGATCTATGCCCGGCCAAGCATCGTGTGGGGGGCACACAGCAGGGCAGCTAACTCTCAGGAAGGACATGAGCAAGAATTCTCCCCTCGGGAAGGAGAAAGAAACTCCACTTGGAACTACAAGACAAATTATCCACAAGCCCAGACACTGTGCAATTACTTGAATTCCCTTCGCTAATAAATATAAATGTCAACGATTCTTGCTGACTTGTCCTTCATTTGCACAAATCAGACTGGTCAATTTCTCGGTGCTGTTTCTAGTCAGTTCTCCCATGTTTTCTGGATTTTCAACAGAGGTGCTGCCAGCCAATCTTAGGTATGTGCACAGAGGAAGAAACTGCCTTAAAGTCTACTCACATCGTTTGGGACAAGTGTCTGAGGGAATTATCAGGAGTAGTTAGGGTTAACTGGGTTGGCCATGAAATAAAACAAGCAATAGAATTTCTGAGAAAGAGAGGGAGGGAGAGATTGAAGATGGAAGGAGAAAGAGGGAGAGAGGGAAAGAGGGGAGGGAGGGAAAAGAGGGAGAAAGAGAGAAAGTGAGGAGAGAGGGAGAGAGGGAGGGAGGGGCACTGAGATGGAGAGACTGAGAAAGAGAGGTTTAGGGTTCTTTGTGGAGACAGAGTGGGCATCAGGTAAGGGTCACCACTGGCAAGAGCACAGAGGGGAGACTCACATCTCAGCTGATTCTACCTCACCCCCATAAGTTACAGCATCTACCCACACACCTGAGAAAAGTCCAACTTGGGCCGCCCTTGCTTGAGTCTCCCAGCCTCGCCCTTTCTGTCTGGTATTCACCACTGTGCTTTTGTGGGCCTGGACTTGGACCTCTTTCAGCGACTTAAAACTCCTCTCAAGTTCTGTCTGGATGTCCACTGTCTTTCATGCTGGTCTTTTGGCCTGAAAGTATTCCTCATTATCCGCTCACGACAATGTTCCCCACATATGTAACAGGTGAAAGAAGGGAGCCATGGTGTTGGGACGGCTGTATCAGTAGGGCTGCCTTCACAGAGGAGTCATGCTTTTAGGGTACTCGGTCAGGTATTAGGAAGATCTCTCTAGCTCTCGCTCTCTCTCTCCCTGGTGTGAGTGCAGGCCCCTGGGCTTGGTCCTCTGTACCAGGAGACAGGGGTACCAAGAGGCAAAGGCAGCAGATTTCATCCCTGCTGTTGGAGCTGTGCCCACTCAAGTGGAACATACTAAATGCCATGCTTTTGCCTTCAGAGGCTCTCAGGTGCTTCATAAGCCTAACACAGCTGTCAATGCATTACTTTGGGGCTCATCAGTCATCAGCCTCTGCCTTCCTTGGGCTGAGATGGGGATGCCAAAACTCCTTTCAAAGAATAAGAAACAGGGCAAAGGCAAGGGAGCCTAAGTCCTAGATCACCACGATTAGGCACACTTGCCCTGCTTTAACTGGCTTTCTGGTCATTCATTCATTCATTCATTCAACCAACCAACCAACTGGCAGATATTTATTGTCTATCTTGTGTCAGGCATGACATGGGAAAATGATGATAAGTAAATTATAACAAACCAAGCAAAACAGATGTGGTCTGGGCTTTCATGAGCATACGGACTACTAAGTGAGACAGATGAAATAATCCCAGATAAATAAAAAGTTTTACAGGGGATGTTATGAAAGAAAGTCCATGGTGTTCTAAGTTGTAGAGTAGGGAGAGGTAGAGAGCTAAAAATCTGATCTGATTGAGAACTTCAAGGAAAGCTTCCCAGAAGAAGTTATATCTGAGCTGAGATGACCTTAAGGAAAGAACTGGGGTGCCTGGGTGGCTCAGTTGTTAAGTGTCTGCCTTCGGCTCAGGTCATGATCCCAGGGTCCTGGGATGGAGTCCCGCATCTGGCTCCCTGCTCAGCAGAAAGCCTGCTTCTCCCTCTCCCACTCCCCCTGCTTGTGTTCCCTCTCTCGCTGTGTCTCACTCTGTCAAATAAATAAAATCTTAAAAAAAAAAAAAGAACCAAACAAAGGACACGAGTGAGTGAGATGGAGGTAAGGAGTCCAGGCAATGGTGACAGAGGGAATCAGCTGTGCAAGGGCCCCATGGCAGTGGGGGATGGTACAGTAATAGGAAGATGAAGATAAAGACACAGTATGGATCAGAGGAGCAAGATGGTGGAGGAGTAGGAGACCTGGATTTCATCTGGTCCCAGGAATTCAGCTGGATAGGGATCAAACCATTCTGAACACCTATAAACTCAACAGGAGATCAAAGAAAAGAATAGCAACAACTCTCTGAACAGAAAAGTGACCACTTTCTGGAAGTCATATTCCATCCCTTCATCATATTAACCCTTATTTTTGTACATATGTAAGTTTTTCTTTCTTTAAAATTTTGGAGGCACTTTCTTCTAACAGACCAAAATACACCCAAAATCTAGTGTGTGGCACTGATCTATGCACCAGCCTGATCATATTTGATCACATTCTGTTTTTTTGTTTGTTTGTTTTTATTTGTTTTTATCTTTTTCTCTTTTTTTTCCTTCTTTCTTTCCCTCTCTTTTCCCCAGGTTTCAGGTCTTTTCTGATTTGTTTAGCGTATATTTTCTGAGGACATTGTTACCCTGTTAGTATTTTGTTCTCTCATTCATCTATTCTCCTCTGGACAAAATGACAAGACGGAAAAAAACACATCAACAAAAAAAACAAGAGGCAGTACCAACTGCCAGGGACCTAATCAATAGGGACATCAGTAAGATGTCGGAACTAGAGTTCAGAATGATGATTTTAAAGATATTAGCTGGGCTTGAAAAAAGCATGGAAGTTATTAGAGAAACCCTCTCTGGAGAAATAAAAGAACTAAAATCTAACCAAGTAGAAATCAAAAAGGCTATTAATGAGGTGCAATAAAAAATGGAGGCTCTCACTGCTAGGATAAATGAGGCAGAAGAGAGAATTAGCGATATAGAAGACCAAATGATGAAAAATAAAGAAGCTGAGAAAAAGAGAGATAAAGAACTACTGGATCGCGAGGGCAGAATTCAAGAGATAAGTGCTACCATAAGACAAAATGACATTAGATTAACTGGGATCCCAGAAGAAGAAGAAAGAGAGAGAGGGGCAGAAGGTATAATGGAGCAAATTATAGCAGAGAACTTCCCTAATTTGGGGAAGGAAACAGGCATCAAAATCCAGCAAAGAGAACCCCTCTCAAAATCAATAAAAATAGGTCAATACCCCAACATCTAATAGTAAAACTTACGAGTCTCAGAGACAAAGAGAAAATCCTGAAAGCAGCCCGGAGAAGAGATCTGTAACCTAAAATGGTAGAAACATTAGACTGGCAACAGACCTATCCACAGAGACCTGGCAGGCCAGAAAGGACTGGCAGGATATATTCAGAGCACTAAATGAGAAAAATATGCAGCCAAGAATACTATATCCAGCTAGGCTGTCATTGAAAATAGAAGAAGAGTGAAAAAGCTTCCAGGACAAACAAAAACTAAAGGAATTTGCAAACACGAAAACAGCCCTACAAGAAATATTGAAAGGGGTCCTCTAAGCAAAGGGAGAGCCTAAAAGCAAC